AGAAATCGCATCGTTCCAAAATCGAAAGGGTAAGTCTCAAAAGTTTATATTCGTAGCTAAGTATTGCAAATGAATTACAAAAAAAAAAATGTGTAGTTGGAAAATCTGCGCAATTCAAATTAAACGACCAACAAAGTGCTGCTACACACTGCTGAGCAGAGAGATGCTCAATCTTCAGTAGGTGGGTAATGAGTAGTGGGTCACGATTGAGAGAATACAAAGGTTGCGCCGATCTCGGACCGCTATTCCTCTCTTAACGAATTTGACAGAATCGTTGTTTGCATGACGTCACACTTGTGCAACTTGTTTACGTTTTCCTTGCAACATTTTTTCTTCTTCTTCCATTCTTGCTCACGTTTTGGCATTTCTCTCTCGCAATTGCACCAGTGTGACGTCACACAAAAGTTATTCTCAAAAATCTTCTCTGATCGGCGCAATCATGTATTCTATCATTCTTGGTAGTGGGTAGTGTGTAGGCGAAAAGTGGAGTGTATACATATATACTATGTATGTAAGTGGCTGTATGAATTGGCAAAAGTGTCAGGTGTAAATGTGTAACATGTTGACGCCGTCACTAGCAACAATTCACACTTTATTGAAAGCGCTCATTCACAGTCGCTTTTTGTTGCTGCATACATTTGCAAACAAACGCATAATGCGGTGTTACTGTGAGAAAGCCACTAGTTCTAGTAAAATATAGTGGGAGAAGAAGAAGAAAACTTTTTCAAAACTCAGCAAAAAGTTTATATTACAGCATTAAGAAAATCAACACGAATTGCAAATTTCAAGGGTTGTTGCATTTCCCACTCGTTCGTTTTCTTATCGCCGCCTTCATGCCAAACTTTTGCAGTTCACACAATTCGAGTTGCAACGTCTGGAATGGCAATAATGGCCATGGTAATTGTGTGGCACTTGTTGTTGCTGTTGCTGTGTATTGAAAGTGGTTTGTTGATGGGCCGTTAGTAACGCTGAAATGGCGGCTTTGTGCAGGCTGGTATGAAAAATTACGTTTAGCTGACAATATGGCACGCTTATGACGACAATGCAAAGGCTATGCGGGGTGGGGAAAAAGGAAGAAAACCATGCAATTCTTATACGCCTGAGTGCTTTAAGGGGCTGCTGTTTGGCACAAACGACTTCAGAAACTTTACGTGCACCATGGAAAACCTTTTTTTTAATATTATTTCTTGAGAATGAGAAGTGTTAGTTATTTGATTTGAATTCTAATACACTTTGAATGTTTGAACATGTGACCCCACAAACTTTTGGGCGTACTAACTAATTTATCGAAAATCAACACGAGCGACTGTTGCCACGAAAATGTCGAAAGTTGGTTGGTTACTACTCTGCGCTTTCTTAAGGGGAGTTGGCTTTTTGACACCTTGCGCTCATCGAGCGTATATGTATGTGCACTAGGGTGGTCCAAAAATGCATGTGGGGGAAAAAGTAAAGTTGAAATTTTCATGCTCTCGCTCCGCCCCCTCCCCCCTATGATTCTTCTATGCCGAAAAAATATACCCCTATTTTTACATTTATTATTATTTTATATGAAAAAAACAACTATT